CAATATATATATATATATATATATATATATATATATTTAAAAAATAGAAAAAAATTTAAATAATAAAAAAACATTTTTAAATTTTAAGTTATTTTAATAAAATTATTTTTTATTTTAAATATAATAATTCAATATATAAATTATAAAAAAATACTATAATTTCGATTTAGTTAAATTTAGCAAACCAAACTAAACTTAAAATTTTTCAATCCACAAAAAAGTTTGATTGTGATAGGTTTTTTATTTTTATTTTTTAACCCCTATTTTTTATTATAATAATTGTTTTTTAAGTAATTCATCTTGAATCTTCAAATAAATAATTATTAAAATACTTATTTTTTAGAGCAGATAATTTATTAAATTAATTTATAATATATATATTTTTTATTTTTTAAAATAAAATAATACTATTTTATTTTTTAAAAATAATAATAATTTTTTAAAATATAGTGAAATATAAATTTACGTCTTAACATGATACAAGTCCATTTAAATTATAACTTAAATCGATTAAATTAAAATTAATCTGATTTAATTTAAATTATAAATTATTTGATCTAATTTTTTTATAAGCTTTTTTTTTATTATTCATCAATCATCCTTTTACACCTTAACATATATTTACATAATTTGTATACAAAATATTTATTATTCTACGAATAAATAAAAGAAAAAAAACTTTCCCTTGGTATATTTATACACGTAATGTTCTACGGACAGAGTTAGGTTACAGATGTTAAATATACTATAACGTGATAAATAACGAATTCAATTTTCACTTAACAAGTTACTCCCATTTAGTATATGATTGCAACATTTAACAATATTGTCTAAAAGGACTAGATATAAAAGTTAATATATATTTATTATACACAATAATTTATTTTTAGATTATACTGTACACAGTTTTTTCATATTAAATACATGTACTATTTTATGGTTTTAATTAATAGATATATTTTAAAATTATATATATTTCTCATCAAATGAGTCCATGAGAGTAAGCTAAATAATAACTAGATTTTGCTTTTTGTTTAGAAATTAGGACTGCGTCCTTGTTTTGTTCCTATGAATTAAGTAAAAAATAAAAATTAATGACTCAATTTTCTTTATATTTTAAAATAGATTAATTTTTTTAGTTTTACTTTATATTAGACTAATAAGTTAATATTTATTTTTGTCTAATTAAAAATAATTTTTTATGTATATAACTTTTTTAATTTTATTTAAAAAATATGTCATTTATTTAAAATTAATTTAAAACCTATTCACGCAAAATAAAATCAAATGTATAAAATCATAAAAATGAGTTGTTATAATCATATAGCCTTGACGAGTTATAGTTGTCTATACATAAAAAAAATTAGAAATATTAAATAACACATCTAATTCTTTATTTTTTTATTAAATACACATTATAAACCCCTATGATTAAAGTGTTTCTAGTAATTAGTTTAAAATATCCTACCAGAAAAATTAGATAACATATTTTTTAATTTTTTTTAAATACACCTTATAAAAATATGTAATTAAAATGTTTCTAGTAATTGTTTTAAAATAAGGATTTACAACTTTATTTATCAACCAAACTCTCTCGTACTTAACATAGCTAAATTGATGATCATGCTTAATAATGCATTTAGATAAATTTTAGAGTAAATATTCATTACTTCAACTAGCTAGCCTTATTATCCACCGTAACTCTCACATCATAATACTTTTTGTAAATATACTACATTTAAGAATATGTCATGTGACAATAGTAATAGAGAGTAAAAAGATATCAAAAGGAGATGGACATTACATGTAGAGTTTATTATTCTTTATAAATTATATCTCTCAATATATATAAATATATTATCAAATTAATTCATTATACGTTTTTTTTAATAAAATAATATTACTTTTATTTTATTGATAAAATAATTATTATTTTATAAAACGTGTCAACTCATAAGTCTATGAACTGCTCGACTTAAGTCTATTTAAGCCTAACCTAAATAGATGAGACCAAAATTTATCAGATTCTATTTATACCATAAATTTTTTTACTTATTCTGACCTATTTTGGACCTTTCAAGCTAATTTATTGGGCTGAATCTATTTTAACATCATAAAAAAAAGGGTTGATTTTGATATAATGTGGTATTTTTTAAAATTATTGAAATTAAAAAAAATAATAAGTTTTGAATTTTTTGTGTAACTAAGTTTATAAACATATTCACCTTTGTTTAAACACATATTAACTAGTAAAATATTATTCCTTACGTCATGTAAATTTTAAATTAATTTAATTGATGAATTATATATTCAGATACTTATTTATGATTTTCATATTTTTAAGATTATTATAGCATCATTATACTTTCAGAAGTAAAATATAGTAAAGTTGTTTTCAATTTACTGATGAAATACTTTTTTTCCCATTTTTCTTTTCTTTTACAAACCATAACCTTAATTTATCTCACTCATTTGAACTTTAACTGCTATTCCATTAATTAATGAATAAAAGATAAGCTCCTTCATGGAATAAAATATTTATCTCTTTGAAAAGGTTTTAACTTTTGAATAGATGTTTTAAATTAACTTAAACTTCAAAAGTAATTCTTCATAGGATACCTTTATCTGATACTTACACCAGAAACTAAGACTTTATCATACTATTATTACATTGGATCTCCACAAAAACTTGCAGGTAAGTATGTTAAGTAAGATTTATTATTATTAGAAAATGTGTCTTTAAAACAAGGAAATTTTCAAGCGCATTATACATGTGAAAGAAAAGTGAAGGTGAAACTAGCCTGGGATGGGATGGGAGAGAGATCACGAGTAACGAGGGAGATCCAAGAAAGAAAAAGAACTATCAAATCATATTAGTTGGGTTGGATTGCTATAATGGCTCCAACATAATTAAGCTTTTTCGCATTACACATGATAGACATTAAAAGCATGATTACCTTTTTTGCCTCTAATTATTTGGTTAAAGTTGTGATTTTCTGTTCTCTGCTGAAGGAGAGGAGAGGGATACCAATGTATGTGTGTCTTCAATTGGACGACATTGTCTGTAACTTGGGGGGTCTGTTTCAGCTAATAGACAAGTCACCTCTGGGAGTACGGTGTATCAGTCCAGGATGAAACTCATTTTCTAATTTATACATGTTATGTTACTCATATCAACAAAATTTTCACAAAGATGATGATAAATTCTTTAAAACCTTAATCAACAACCTTCAAAGCCACGAAATTCAACCCATGCGCTGTCACACACACAAAAAAAAAACTGAAGCACTGACATAAACTCCTCAGTCTTCACTCACTTCACCCCAATATCTAACCTTTAAAAGAAAACAAAAGGCCTAAAAGAAAATGAGAAAAAGTCATTTAAGTACTTGACTAATTGGACACACATATCTTACAGCTCATTCATGCTTAAAGAACTGAATCAATGACATGATAAAAGCTGATGCTTGCCCATATAATGCTGTACTCCATTAGAATGCAAATCTAAATGGTGACTTATGCTGTCTTCCTTTTAGTGATATATGACAAAAGTTACCACTTAAATGACAGAGGATGTGTCAAATTTAGGAAACTCTCCTCTGTGGAGGAGAAAGTCACCACATCACCACCATAGTTTTTGAGTTAAAGGGGTGTGGTTCCATTTTTCATCATGTTTCTGTTGCCACTTTGCTAGAATGTATCTAAATGTTTCACAAGTTTTTCTCATAATGTTCCTTAGTTATGATGTGAAATTAATCTTGGAGAAGTCACAGTCCACATAAAGTATTTCCAACTAAGACTAAGCCACAATATACATTATGTTTAAAATTGCAATCGGTTGTTCTTTCTATATACAGATAAACGATACTAGTTTTATATTGTTTTATGTTGCCTATGTTATCACCATGTGAAAATGAACAACTTTTACTGGAAGGAGGAAAATAGTTCCTTTCTTTCACTGCGGAAGCAGAGAAAGATAAGGGATTCCAAGTACGCAATGAACGTTTATTGTAACTGGGGCTTCCATAGAACAGAGCACGAAAGTTTTGGGTTGTCATCCATAATGCACTGACTCATAGTAGGTATCTGATATTTTGATACTTTAGGTAAGAAAAGGATTCCTGTTGAATTTTGATTGGTTTTCTATGGTTTAAATGTTAAGATCTCATTATTGCTGTCATTTTTTCACTGCATTCAAAATGGTCCACACTGCCTACAATCCTTTTATTCCCCTCTCACCTCATCATTACTGTTAGCAACACATTCCCAAATCTCCTCTATTTTTATTATTAACTAATTCCATACATTCATTACCCCTGATTTCAGAACATAAGGGCTGTTTACATACATTTCTCTATCCTAAAAGAATGTAACCCAATGATCATAAAAACTTAAATGAGCTTTTAGAACTTAGTTTATTATAAAGCGTAGTAGATAATCACCGCAATTTAAATTTTACAATATTTTACCCAAAAACAATGAGAAAAAAAGAGCCCCATAAAACATTTCCTCTTTCTTTCTTTTCTTCGTTCGGTGAAAAGGACATGTGAATGCGCAGATGTGAAAATAGCCATACGAGAAAAGGTATACAATGTTGTAAAGTATTGTTAAAATAAAGTGATTTTTATCTTTTCTTTCCTGCAATTTTCTCATCAATGAGAAGTGTAATTATAGTCATCACATGACTTCTCAACCTTTCATGAGACTCACATTAGGACAATTATGGGATCCACTTTTTTACACCTACAAATCCTCAACAACACTGATAGTTTTATTAGTAGAATATTATTATAATGAGGAATAAACTGTGAGTTCAATGCATAGTGCCTTGGTCATACATATACTACTTTTTCTAATTCTTTCTCTCATCAGTACATAGAAAAAAGAAAAAGAAATAAGAAAAAACAGAAAACAAGGGGAAAAGAGCCCTTAATTTCTTTAATGGCAAACACATATTTGCGGGAAATCCTATTTTTGCTAAACTATTTACATTTTTGCAGTTAGAAGTATTCGAAGTGTTGAGTTCTAGGCTGATATGGCTGATCCCTGTCTGTTTTGCTTAGTTTTGGTAGTAAAACCCTACTCCTAATTTTGTTCACATCACTAGGGACCTCAGGGGGCCTAACTGATCTAATTAAGGCCCAATTTACACCCTTGAAGAACTCATGCCTTTTGATCTCTACAGAACCCATGCAGTTTCCAATTCTCTTATTTGGATTCTTCACCAAAAGCTTGCTTATAAGGTCTTGAACTTTCACCATCTCTTCATAATCCTTGCTGCTGCTAACTGCAATTCTAGGGAAAGCCAAGGGCTGCTTCAAAATGTTGACGAGAGTTTTTTCATTATTTTCACCTTTGAAGGGTGTTCTCCCGTATAACATCTCATACAAGAACACCCCAAACGTCCACCAGTCCACTGCACTCCCATGTCCTTGCCCCAAGATCACTTCTGGGGCCAAGTACTCATGTGTCCCGACAAATGACTTGGACTTGGCATCAATAGGCTCAGCCACCAGCTCCGGATCAAGCTCTTCCACCTCAACATTTTCCCTTATAACTGTTGTCACAGTCGCTTTCTTTTTCTTGCTTGATGCCAAGAAACATGACAGCACAGGCTGCATGGGGGCAGTGCAGGCTGGTACAGATCTCTTTGTACTCTTGATACTGCGTTCTACTCTCGTCTTACTTCTTAACAGCTTGGGAACAACGTCACATTTGAGCGAAAGATCAAAGTCTGAAAGCATAATGTGTCCATCCTCCCTCACAAGCACATTCTCTGGCTTCAAATCCCTGTACACTATGCCCATCATGTGAAGATACTCTAATGCCAATAGCGTCTCAGCCGCATAAAACCTGCGTAGCGTTTTCCAAAAGTAACCCCTACGTTAACACCTCATCATATTACCATACTACATGACACCTCATAGAAATAATAATCATAATTAATGTCAAGTTAATTTTACTCTCATTCAACCATAAACCACTGCATAAAGTTTTATTAACTTTTAAAATATTACTTTATACTGTTTTTTATTGGCTGAGTACTCAAGTATAATTATTTATTTTCAAATGCAGTATCATAAAGTTGATAAAAATAAACATCATTCAAAAATAAATTGAAATATATATGTCTTTCTTAAAGGAGAGAAGGTATAAGGCTACACTTGAATTCAAAAGCATGATTAGTGATGAATGAAGTAATAAGTAGTCTGTATGAGTAACATGATTAAAAAAAAGAAGGGTAAGAAAGGAGATAAAAAAGTGCTTACTTAGTGGATGTTATGGAAAAGCGCTTCCCGGGCTGGCGTTGGCGTGCAGCATACAAGTCACCACCGGGGCAGAACTCCATGACCAAGCAAGAGTAATGAGAAGCATCAAACTCAGTGTACAAGGTAGGTAAGAAGGGATGATCAAGCATGGCCAGAATCTCCTTCTCCATCTCCGCTCGCTGCAGCTTCTTCCTTATCGCAAGTGCCTCTCTGTCCACCACCTTCATCGCGTAAAAGCACTGCGGCAACCCCACCACGGGGTTCCTTATCTGGCAAAGGTACACGTTCCCGATGTCGCCGCTTCCCAGCCGCCGCAGCAGCCGAAAGTGCTCCAGCCCCACCTGCCCCTTGTCCCGCCGGAGCCGCCGCATGACCTCCCATGCAGCCTGGTTGGCCTTGTGGGGCCTGGCGTGAGGACTCTCCACGGTGGAGGAGCAGACAGAGACCGAGCTACGGCGGCGGCGGCTGCCGAAGCTGAGGTTGGTCATCCAGCTCCGGGTGGATTCCGGCACCGTGATGGAGGAGGAGCTGCTGTCATAGTCAGGCTCATCCCTAGACGGAGTGGTGGTGGTGATGGCGGTTACAGTGGTAGGAGCATTCATGGTGGGTGCAGGGTAACATAAGATTTGAAAGTGTGTGGGGTTCTTCACGCTTGGGTTCGTGACGAAGTGGGGTTTTTATATTGCAGAAGTAGCCTTTGGTATTGTACCCAGCACATGCGAGACCAAACGATGACGTGGAAGAAGCAGCAATTAAGAATTTTACAAAGGGTTACTTTTACTAAATTAATTGAATGGCACGTTATAATTAAAACTTGGTATTCGGTACTGAAACAGTTAAAGCCAATATTTCAGCGACGAAAGTTACACTATGAATTTGTTATTGACGTTTAATTAACTTGTCCATTTTCTTTGTTTCTTTTTTGGCTATATAAATTGACAGAATGCATATAGAATGGAAATGGGTGTAGAGAAGGAATCTTTTTTACTGAATGAGAGGCTACAGGGAGGGAAGATGTGGATCCTAAGAAGAAAAAATGTCAAAAGAAGAATAGTGAAGATTCCTAAAATAATAATATTCTGTGTGATAGGCTGTGTGTTGGGGTTGAATGAATGTTTAGATTTGATGCGAGGTAGTATTGGATTGAATTTGGTGGTTTAAAGATGAGATTTTGTGTTGAGAAGGAGTGGTGGGAAGAGGGCATCAAGGTATTTTTTGGATCGTCCTCACGTTGTTACCCCGTGGGATTGTATCAAATGTGACGACCAAAAGGTAAGCTTTTGGTGTTTTTATGTCGAGCCATGTTAGCTCACGCACCAGGCCTTCTGCTCTCCGACCCACTACGTTTTGTTCACCCAAAACCACTTTTCTTTTCATTTTATAATTTATATTCATATAAATACTGCATTCAATTTAATTCGTATTCTTATGCTTCTGCATGCATTACTTTTTAACAAATAATCTATATATATTACTTTACTTTTAATTTAAACAGTTTAAAATAAATATCAAGAAAATAATAAATGAAATCATTTTAAAATACACTCTTAACTTTATCACAATTAATAAAAAAAGTACAAAAATAATTAAATGTATAAAATTAAGATGCAAAATTTAATATTTAGGAACATTTGTTTTGAGGAAATGATGGCGTAAAGCTAGTTAACCGATTCTAACGAATTTTTTTTTTTTTAATGAATAAACAGACACTCTAGTTTGTCAGGAGATAATAAGTACATTTTTTTAAACAAATTTACATTTTTTTTATTGATTACAAATATGTTTATAGTTTATAATTATTTTATAAGGAAAAACTCGTTTAATTTATTAATGGTGTTAGATGAAGAGTTTATTTATAATAATAAACAAATTCTTTTAGTAAGTTATGTCATTACCTTAATTTATATACTATTTTTTAGTGTAAACTTCTAGTTTTTTTACATTTGGATTTCTTTTTGTCTTTAACATATTTATTAAATTTTATTATTTCTCATGGAATTAATTTACTATAATTCTTAATAAAATATAGTTTTTTTCATCCTTTTATTATATTAAATATTAATAATATACACTATTTTTTTAATAATATTATTATTATTGAATATTTTATGTTACACTGATTATTTTAACCATTATACGAGTTATAATATTTTTTTAAAATTATATTATACTTAAAATTTTAAATTTATGCTATTCTTATTATTTATTTTATCGTTTTGAAAAAAATAGTATATTATTACACTAGTTAATACAGTAAAATATATAATATATATTTAAGGTTATACTATTTTATATTTTAATTTATTTTAAATTCTACCGAAATATTTAAATATATTAATAAAACTGACAGTACGAAAAAATAAATTGAGAATAAAACATGTAATCAAAAGTATAGGTCTATGAATTTTAATAAAACAAACTAACATTATGAATATTCTAATATATTTTATCCATGAAATTATATTAAATAAATATGTATATTTTTATACTATTTAAATTTTACCAGTTACTTCAATAAATAATTTCACTATATATTTATAACTAACTTTACATGTTAGTTTTTCAACTACTTTTATCCAACACTCTCCATGTAAAACAATGTGTATTTGATTTTTAGATACTTTAAGTCTTTCAAACAATCAAAGTTAATAGTAATATTATCTAGTTCTTAATTTCTTTTTATTTAATCATAAGAATTACATTATTGTAAACCTTACTTATTGTGGCTGTGCAAAAAATAAACGCACTTTTCTTTTAAAGAAATATATATTAATTTGTAAAAGATGTTCAAATTAGTTAAGTATTAATTAAGCAAATTAAAACTTAGAAAATGTTTGTATAATATTAAGAGAAAATGGACAAATAATTATTAAACTTGGATGTATGCTTTAATTAGATGAAAGGTTGAGAAAATTAATGTATTTTTTAAAAATTTATAAACATTTTAGTTTAATTTTTTTATCCGATAGAGAATAGTGAAAAACATGTTATGCACTGAAACAATTTTCATGTGATTGGAAACCAAGTTTTAGATATGAATGAAAGTGGAAACAATAATGCAAGAGAAGACAGCACGAAGCACGGCGTTAAATGAGTATGTATTAATTAGCTAATATATGATTAAATCATTGACAGTATCATTGTAGGTAATAAGTTTTTTTTTTAAATAATAATAATTTCACTTCTTTTTTTAAGTAGAAGTTACTTTAATAATTAGGTTTTATAAAAAAAATCATGTTATTTAGACTTTTGATGATTAGGACAAAAAAAAAACTCTTATATATTTTGAACATTTTTATTATTATTTATGATCTGACCATTTTAAAAAGAATAATTAAAAAAAGTTAACTCAAATGTTTGTTTAATATGGATAAAAAACGTAGTTAGTTAAAAAAATGTAATCATTGGTTCCGTAAAAAACAAAACATATTTCTTAATGCAATAAAAAAAATATCCTCAAAGACCAAAAAGAAATATTTAGTTAAATTGTTTTTTATCAATAATATCAATTTATATATATTTCAAAATATACCCCTAAAATTAAATTTTCAAGTTATTGCTAATATTTAAAAACATGACTTGTAATTCATTAAGTATTTTTTACTAGCAATTCGAATAATAAATGTGTTAGCATATTTTTTTTCAGTTTTTATGAAAAAAATAGTTACGTAAAATTGGAAACAACAACCAAGTTTAGCCTCTACGTTCTATCCACATAAGAATGTTTGGGACATTGGATGAAATATTCATTTTGAAATGCTAAAATTACTATAAATCGAAGTTTAATTTAAATAAAATGACATCGAAATAAGTGTCCCATAATAATTTTTAACATTAAATTAAGAATGCATGTTGTTGGCAATGAAATTTTACTCGTGAACCATGTATGTTATTGTATCTTTTGGTTGAATTAAAACATTCTTCGTTTCCTCTCGTGTCCGCTTCTTCGGACAAAATAACAAGGCTGTGTATAAAATGGAATTATAACTTTTTTTAATTATAAAAAATCAATATATATATATATATATATATATATATATATATATATATATATATATTATTCTTATATAAAGTTAGAGGTAGTTGTGGATATTTAAATGCAAAACTCAATCTTAAATGTGTCCCTTTTGGGGGGCCAAAATTGATAATTAAAGGAAAGTTTGTGATGCATAGATTATTACAAATAGATTATTGGAGAAATCCAAGGCAACAAAAAAATTATTCTTTTCCTTTTTTAAAAATAGTCCTTTTTTATGTTTATCACCCTTTGATAATAACTATAATAGAAAAAACATCTTAAAGGTGATGGTCAAAAGCACCCTCTCTTTGTGTTAAAGCTTGTGCAATCGCAAATCAAGAACATTTTTTTTTTTCTTTTCGGCTAACAAAGTAGAAAGCAGAAGCAGCATGCAGACGACATCGTAAACTCTGCCATGGATGCTTCTTTTTGTCTGATCAACTGCTTACTTGAACTCTTGCTCAAGGATATATCATATATATGCACTCTTTCTTATTAAGTAACCAATGTTATGTCATGTGATATTAGAGAAAAAGACACGCACAAAATAAAAAACAAAACAAAACTCACTGACCAAAACAGAGCAATAAATTGCTATCCATTTTTCCCTTTCAAAGAAATCGCTGGTGAGGAATGAGAATGCACGAAGAACCCGTGCCCCGAATTGAATTCACCACCCTAATTTGAAGTTGGATGGGAAGAGAGGAAGTAACACTGATATTATTATGGCTTAGGTGTGTCCGTATATTAATGTATGTAATTATTAATCATACGGTACAGTTTGTACAGTAGAGTATAGTGATATTAATTTATGGTATCCTTGGGATGCATGTGAAGCAATATTACCTTTGTAGGTGTCTGGGTTGGCCACTTACTTTGGTCCATACCCGCGCCCACCTCACAAATACGAAATATGGTATATACTTTTGGAAAAAGTGGTGAATACTGCTACAACTCAATGATGTCATCTGAATCGTGATTCTTAAAAATGCTCTACGTACTATAGTAGTTAGGATTTGATTTTGAATTGAACCTGTTTTTGATGAAACGATTCTGATATTGTTTCATAATGGATCTAGTTTATCAGTTCAAGTGAAACTATGATATGGTCCATGTTAATTATCAAGCCTTGCTCGTGTTTGCATTGCATTATTATCTCTTCGTGACTCCCACTCCATTGCATTTTTGCAAAGGCACGAATGCACCATCATGTACCTTACTTTTGAAACTTTATACATCAGTCAACAAAGGCTTATCCCACCATCTTTCTTTCTCAAAGTAGACTGACTACCTGTCACGTATCCCATTTTATTATCTTGATCTTGTGGACCCTTAAACGGTCATTTTTCCTTTTCCCTATTCAATTAATAATCATGCATGGATAATAAGAACAAGAAAATAAATTCAACCACAATTTAATCATGCAAAAAGGCGATGATGTGGGTTGATTTTAGAACGACTTTGATGTATGCATGTTGGGATATGTATGTCAAACCAGATCTTGTTTCCTGATTCATGGATGTGTCATTTGTGATTCTACAAAATACCCATTGAATCGTTGATTCTTGCTATTCATATGAGGCAAGGCAATAATTCTAATCATTCTAGAGTGTGTAACTGTGTATCAGAAAGTACATAAATATTTTCTTGTTTTTTTTTGTTTTCCATTTTTCTCCTTTTTATCTACAAGATCTTGTCGCGTACACTTTTGGTCACAATTCTGGTAGCAGACCCAGCATAAATTGCAGTCATGCAGAGAGGCAAACATATAGGAAGACTCGAAGCTCCATCACTTGCTCCATAACATTCTTCTCCCCAGACCTTCAAAAGTGCCATCATCTATCCTCCAACGACCCACCTTTATGATGTCTACTTGTTTGCATGCTAAAGGAAATTAACCCACAAAGAATTTGATGGGATAGAAAAAAAGGCAAAAACATTATAATATGAAAAGAAAAGAAAAGCTAAATATGTAAATTATATCGAATCAGATTGCTAGCCATTCTTACCAGTTCAATGAATGGTTTCAAGTAGTCTCATAATTCTTGAATTTGAAACTTTGTTTAAGGAGAATGATTATAACATTGTGTCTATAACTAACAATCGTAACCACGATTGCTAATACTCAAAAGAAGAGTTTGTTTATTGTAATCCAATTTAATTTGAACTGGATTATATATGGGCAACTAATGTGGATGCCATAAAAGGAAAAAGAAAGGTGTAGAAAAGTCCAAAGATGACTTGATTTGTTATATTTAATTTTTTCTCGAGATATGAGGGATCCACAATTTAATGCTCTAAGATTTGAAGTGTGATTTGTTGTTGAGTTCTACATAGAAACCTGCCACTGACACTCTCACTCTCAGCAATATTGATAATGAATTGACAGAATGTGGTAGATTTAACGACATGAAATGGCGAGAGGATAACTGCAAACGAAGAGGACACAGAAACAACCAACTTTAACATCTCTGAGATACAGCAGAGTACTCAGAGTTCCATTCCTTTAATAATTTGGTGCATACACTGAACAAAGCGTGGCCAATCTGGCAACCGTGCAATGTGATGAATCATACACCAGAATGAATAGAAAGAAGAAGCAGAAGTGAAACTGATCAGCACCTAAAATTAAGTATTAAAATTTTGAGGAAGCATATAAAATTGGGAAGCATAAATTTCAGTGAAAAGTGGAGCAAGTGTAGAAGGACACGTACGGATGCATATACCGGGAAAACAGCAGTGGCAATCTTATGCGATCTTCTTTTGTTGTTGTCTGAGACATCTCATAATGGGCATGCCAGCTTCTGCTCATGGGGTCCAAATCCAAACTAAGACTCTATTTTTATTTCCTCTTTTGTGCATATGAATTTGAGTTTAAAGCTATTGAAAGAATTTATCATCATAGAATAAACTCTGTAGATTCAGTTTAAATATATTTCTTAAAATTAATTTATTTACAAAATAAATAAAAAATATACAAGAGAAATTTTACAAATTAATAAATTAACTTATGCCTAAGCTAATTTAAATTTAGAAGTTAATTTCATTTTTTTATCTCTTAATTTTCTCTCGTAAAAATCTTAAAAAAAGTTTGACTAAATATACCCACATAATTTTTAAAATTTCAAACATTAATTTTTTTTAATAAATATTAATACATTAGAATTGTGTATTGGACCACAACTATATTTAAATTAGTAAAAAGGTATAACTTTAAAGTTCGTTAATGGAGAATTGTGTTATACTACCGTAAAATGTCAAACATTAATTAAAGTTAGAGAATTTTAAAAACTTTTGTTAAATAAAATAAAAAATAAAAAAAATTAATTATATTTAATAAAAGAGGAAGATTGTTTCCAATTTACTCACCAAACTTAAGAGAATAAATAAATAAGTGGTTGTGGATGATCTAATTGTCTACAAATTTTATATAAAATAAAAATATGATAATATTATAATATGGATGAGTAAAATAAAATTAATTATTTTTTTATTTTTAAAATTAATTATTTTTTTATTTTTAAAATTAATTATTTTTAATAGGAATAATAGAGAATTTAATTATGAACTTAAGCAAAAACTTTTCAAATTGAATACTGAAACGTTTCTATATTTTATGTAACAATAAGATTTTTTTTTTCCATTTCAAAAATTAATTTAATATTTTAATACAAATTAATTAAAGATTAAAATAAATATGCTTAGACTGTAATTATATAAATAAGCAAATAAAATACCTAGTTGAATAGCGTGTAGCTTTAATATTGGGCTATAATTTTTCAGCTAATTTTGTTTTCATAATTTTTCCCTCCACCTTTATAATTAAATTATATTTTATCTTTACATTTATTTTCACCCTTCATAAGTATTTATTTATGGTTTTTAAACTTTTAAATTCTATTAAAACATTTTCATTCTTCTTTCTCCTATTATTCTAAGAATTATAAGAAATAGATAAAAATCTTCAACAATTTTTAATTTGTATCATTTTTCCACTCACATTGGCTAGAAATATATTTTGGGGATTGAGAATATAGTTCAAGCAAATTTTTTTGGAAAACAGTAAAATAGGTTCCCGAATACATTTATAGAAATGATTTTTTAAAAATGCATTCTGGATTGGTGAGTCTCGAATACACTTATGGATTTAACATTTTGGAAGTATATTCCAAACCACTAATTAGGAATGCATTTCCGAAAAATCAATTCTAGAAATATTTTTTACAAAAGTAAGTTCTAGAATACATTTCTATAAATGATCTTCTCGAAATACATTCTAGATTGGTGGGTCCAGAATACACTTTTAGTTAAACATTCTAAAAGTATACTATGAACTCACTAATTCAAAATACATTTTTGAAAATGTATTTCAAAATATGTTTCCTGAAAATCTTTTTCATAAATCTTGTTACGGGTCCACTTTTTTGGAATATGTTTATAGAATATGAGATCTAGAAATTCTATTCCATATCCCAATCTCTTTAATAGTATTTTGGAAATAATTTACTTTTAAATTTATAGGTTTTGAACTTTTTCTTTAACTATGCAATGAAGGAATATTTTTTAAATAATAATATGTTAGATGAAGTTGTCATATTGATGGGTTTAGATAATATAGTGAAACACATACTTGATAATTTAGTTGAATGTACTTATACATTCACAACAAATGAAAAGTCTATACTAGTTTATATGACAAAGAGTTTGGTGATGCCTAAAAGTATTCTACTTACCTTGAAGGAGAATAATGAAAAGAATGTTATGAGTATAAAACAAGATTAATATGCAAGATTGTTGAATTATTGACAAGCGTACCAAAATTATCAATTGCAGTATAATATTTCGATAAAATAAAAGTCGATCCCACGAGGAACAGTTTCAATGGAAATTCCTAATTATGCTTACTAAGTAGATTAAAACAGATTAGGTTTTGCAAATAAGAGTTGAATTGAAATTAAATGACAAAGACTTGTAAATTGTTGAGAAAATATCAATTAAAGGTACTTAGGATTGACTTCCTTCCTTATCCCTCTTTTGTAATGACTAAATCAATTAAGAACGTCAATTAACCTAACAATGTTGATGCCACCTACTCAAATCATCCATGTTGATTCCTCACACATGAAATTCATAAAAAAACCTAATAAATGTTGATTCCTCACACAATTAAGAGATTTTCCAGCATTAGGGTTAAGGTGTTTAAGCACTTGATACATTCATTCCATTCCTGGCAATTAACGTAACAAATATTCTTACCGTGATCTAGAGTTCAAGATATATTTTCCAATCATACCTCAAACAATCAAGAATAAATCATTTCAAAGCATAAAGGATAAGAATAACAACATCAAAGGATAGATTAATATATCAAAATATCATCATGATACAAAAGAGTTCAAAGGAAGTGCACCGAATCCTAAGAGAATGAAGTTAGTCACTCATGTTGGCCATTACAATGCTCAAATTGATGAAGTAGAATTGATGAAGATTGGACAAAACCCTAACAGTAGTCGTGCCTCCTCTCCTCCAAGACTGTTTACCTTTCTCAAAACACAACTTATCTTTTTATAAGAGAATTTGGATCGGGTCTCGCATCATTTATTCGCTTAAGCGCTCTTCTTTCTTTCAATTTTACTCTAATTATGCTGACAATTATGCTCCTTCCTTTTGTATCAAGGTATTCTCGAATTCATCCTATATTGGGAGAAAAATATATTAGAATTAACATAAGTTAAGTGGTTTCATAACAATTCAAGGCATAATTATATCAACTTTTTACCACTTAACAACTCCCCCCAACCTAGAATCTTGCTTGTCCCAAGCAAAGTAATTTTTCCAAAACAAAATCATCACCTATTATCTTTTTCTCTTCTAGCCACAACATAAAAATTTTCAGAGGTGATGCTCACAACTCCAAATGAAAATAGAACATATAAGCATTCAAGTTATAGAAACCAACAAAGAATAATTAGTCCTCAACTATCCTCAGAGAAGCATGATCTCTCAAATAGAGTTATATATACTCATCTCTAATTCTCACAGGTAAGTGTTTATCCCATTCAATCACTTCATTTAGACAATCCAATATTGATAATCATCTTCAAGAAATCAACAATTGTTAAACAAGAATTAAATCAAAAGGTATTTTGAGGCTTGTAATGGGGCTAGGCTAAGAAAGAATTATTGGTTTTTCTGGGATATACAAAAATATTTGAGAAATTCAACTCATATGAATGATTCTTGATTAATAATTTCTCAAGTCAGGTTTCAAACTTTATGCTTTTGTCCCTAACATAATGACAATGAGTTAATAATCTCACAAGTTATTACCCCCCTTTTTACTTTTTTTTTTTTTTTTGCTTTTGCATGTATCCTTTTTTTTGGCTTTGCAAATTTTTAAGCTTTACTTTTCCTTTTTCTTTACACTTTTTTTTTAACAATAACACCCCAACAATACCTGTAGGACAACAATAGCAATACCCAACAATAAGAAAAATAGTGACATTCATACTCATTTCATTTCCCAAATATAGGAAGGTAGATAAATAGTGTTTAGGCTTAAGGGTTCTGTTTAAGAAACAATATTATTTTTTTGGCTCAGAAGGGGTTCAAATGGATATCCTATAATTAATGCATGGTTGACTATTTGGCTCTGGGTTATATCTACTACAAAGAAAAATTGCCTTTATCATTTTCAAGTCTTGCTAACATGTAATCACATCAAAGAATCAACCAATATCAGTTATCATCACAAAGTGTTGACACTCAATTTATTTGTTTGTGGTACTCTGCTCACCTGGGTTTTGGCTAGCTTCTCCAATTCAGTTAATTCCTAA